AGAATAAATTTCTCTTGTTTTAGACCACCAAGTTTGTGGTAATTATCAGTATCTACAGGAAATTAATGTAATTATTAAATCAATGGAAGCCACTTGTATTTCCCTACCCACTTGCAACTTCCTGGAGGTAGTCAGAACCTTAAATCTGGTGTTACTTATTCTCTGAACTTCATTATACTTATGTTAAATATGTATTATTCTGAAATAATACTCCACTTATATATGTATCATACTGTATCCTTCTGCATATTGGTTTTTGCTTTTATCTTTCTGTATATTTTTATACATAAAGCATATATTATAAATTATATATGTTGATACATGTAGCTCTAGTCCATTTTCACTGTTGCATAGTATTCCAGTGTGTGTCTGTGTACCACAATTTTAAAATCAATTCTCTTGTTGGACATTCAGGTTGTTTCTGGTTTCTCGGTCTTTCAGACAGTGACACAATTAATATTTTTTGCATATTTCTCCTTGTGCTCATGTACAAGAGAGTTTCTAGGATATTTATCAGAAAATAGAATTACTAGGTCAAAGATTGTGTCATCCTCATCTCTGCTAGATTTTGTCAAATTGCTCTGCAGAAATATTGATGTACACTTGGTGGGTTGGATTTTGACAGCCGGAGATTTCAGAAGAGGAATGATGTGTACCAAGGTGTAGAGATGGGAGACACAGGGAGTGGTAGGTTGTCAGTTCTGTCTGACAAGGCACTGGTTCTCATTTGAGGCATGAGAGTAAATCTGAATTGCTTGAGAGAATTTTTTGTGATCTTTGCCATTCTGGGATGTCTTCCCAAGGAACTGATATATTCTCCCAGGCAATTGTGGCATGCTTTGGTTGAGAATCAGTAGACTGGTGCCTGAGAAGGAACAGAGAGAGAAGAGACAGGAAAGCTGGGCTGGGAGGACCACTGAGAGAACTGAGATGTCAAGCAGGAGAGTACATGTCAATCAGGGGTATCAAAAGTGTCTGAGCAGAAGCCAAGCACCTACCCCTCTGCAGATATCCGGAGGCAACATTAGGGCTTCAGCACTCTTAGGTTAAGAAATTTGGAATGAAGTTTTGTGTATTTTACCATGTGTGTCAAGATTTGGCCTCTGACAGCACTTGTCTCAAGTTTCCTTCTGGTTTTCAGAACCATTGTATTATTTTATAATACAATGAGCTACTGCTCCCCTGGGTCTCTACATCATTGAAGATGCTGAAGATTTTGCTTAAGGTTGGCATTTTTATATTTTAATTATAATTATCAGCCTAGGAAAGTTCAGGAGAGTTAAATATAATACTTCAAATGCATTTATAGAATATAGCATGTTATGTGAGTATAATGCGTGTATTCCTTTAGAAGAATGTATACATCTAAATAATGTATAGTATGAGAAAAGACATAGATATTGATTAAACAACGAAGTGTGTGTGTGTGTGTGTGTGTACCTTGATAAGGATTAGATGAAGGCACAAAACAACGCAAAGAGTTGGTCTTTTAAGTTTATGGCTTACTTTCTCTATAAGGGTACAAGTACTTCCTCCTTCTTAGCAAAAAATATACTTTATTAATCAGGTACAAAAGTACAAACCTATAAATGTTTGACCTGGAAGAGTCCTTAGAGATAGATACCTTATCTAATTTGGCTCTTTCCACGACGACATGCAGGAGAGGTGAGCTGGAGTAGGTGATGAGGCAGTCTGTGACTGGGACTAGGACTAGATCCCTTCCCAGGGCACTTCCCACCACAGTACCTCTTAACATTACCAACGGTTCAGATTACCCCATTCTGCTGGAGAATATTAGATAACTCTTGATGAGCTTATTTGAATTTCATATTTGGCATTTAGTCCAATTACTGATTTTAGCATAAAAGTTGACCATATTTAACAAATATTAAAAATTTTTAATAGTTTCTCATAATTATCAAGATAAGTGATCTTTTTTGGAAATCTTTTATAAAATAACACGTTTTAGACAACTGTGAAAGTAAAAGCTTCCTAAGTTACTTGATGTCTTGCTTCACGTCTCTCAGAAGTGTACAGAGGACCTTGTACATTGCTTTAATAACACGTCCTACATTTATAAATCAAGCCATTATCTCAGATGTATTGGGAGTGTGGTGGCATGGGAGAATAGTTCAAGAAGGTCTTGAAGTCTGAGGTAATTGTTGGGAGAAGAGGCTTATTCCTTTCAGACTTGACACTGGACTTGCCAGAGAATCAGATTGAACTAGAAGGACGTTTTAGGATGTAATAGCCACCCCAAACTATGTGACTTTATAATTCCAGTTTTAGGGCCTACACAACAAACACCAATAGCAAAACTGAAAACAGAAAAAAAAATCACCTTGTAATTCTACCATTCTAACACATTAATTGTTTTCATTTTTTCTGTTCACTTTCAGTTCTTGATTTTATGCCACCATTTCATGTAACTTTAAATACAACATAGTTAAAATGATGCATTTTAACTTTTTTTAACTGAACATTATATTGTGAACACTTTTGTCTTAGGGCTATTTTGGTTGCAAGGAACATTTATTTAGTAAAAAATGAATGTTTTAGAAAAAAGTTGTGTGTGTGTGTGCCCAATTTTACGGAAATCCAAGGACAGGAACCCAAGACAGCAAAATTCTACAGGAATTGGAGCTAGGACAAGGAAAGCCAGCAGCTACCGAAGCTGCTCTGTTAGGGGCCTTCAGTGGGGTCTCTGCTTATCTTTGCATTTCTGTGCTGTACTCTCATAACTTCAGTTGTGCCTTGCCAATAATAGCCCTCTCAAACTATGTGACTTTATAATTCCAGAGTTTTCAATCATCCTCTCCCTAGGTCTCTTAAAGTCAAATCCTGATTTGATCATCCTAATTTATCTTTCCCATCCAGTTAGACCACAAAAATCAGAGGTTTCTGTTCAGACTGTGGATTGGTTGTCCCTAGCTCAGGTGGACACACCTCGATCTAGTCGGGTGTGTCTAGGGAGTTGGTGCTTCTGATTCTAGCTCTGCAGACAGCAAGGCCATATGCAGGAACAACCCTCTCCCTCCCTCCAGCACTGTGAGTGTGGGTGGGTAGACACCAGCTCCCATGAGGTTATGTAGTCTTCATAACTCTGAATTTTAATGAATGCCCAACATTACGTCAACTAGCTGTTACATAACTTATGATCCCATCCCTCTGCTGTTTTAATTTAGCTCCTTTCAGTTTGGGGGCTACCAGTAAAACTATGATGAACATTTTTATTCATACATTTTCCCCTTCATCTGGATTATATAAATTAATCTTTAAATTACATAGCAACTGCATTCTCTGAGTATCTTTAGGATATAAAACATAACCCTGCTTTTTTTGTTTGTTTGTTTAAAAAGCATCTGTATTTGCTAGTGATTTATACGTAGGTAGTTATGGGCAAAATAATAGGATGCGATATTTGGGATTTGCTTCCAAGCACTTTAGGAAAAAGATTGGGGGTGGTGGGTGACAGGTGAAGCAAGGTTGGTGAACTGTTAATGACTGTTGGAGCTGATGATGGGTACAGGGAGGTTTAATACATACTATTGTCTTTATTTTGCTGTTTACTTCCCACTCGCCTTCTCTTCCTCTCCCTTCTGGATTTTTTGTTGTTTTTCCTCATGTTTCTTCTGGATACTTGCTGTCCCCATGCTGCCACCTGGATTCCCCAAAGGTTTTCTCAGGGTCAGTCACCCCTGTTACCTGCTTCATAGTTTCCTTTTCCTTTATCAAAAATTTCAAGTCCATCCACCTATCCACCCATTCAGTAATTTATTCACGTAAAAAATTGAAGCCTATGTATTGGGCAAGGCAGTAGAAAAGGTGCAAAATGTAGTCCCTTTCATTGCTTTAGATGTTACCAGACAGCTGTTAAGAGGAATACAAGCACAACTTGTTTTGTACCCTAAGATAAGAAATAGATAGGCAGCTTATCCTTCTTGGGAAGAACTGTATTTTAGAAGAGAAGCCAAGTGCCCCCTGGTGGGTGGGAAGTGTGGTAAAACACACTTCAATACCTCCCTCCTCCATACTGCCTTTTTGCCCAGTGGTATTCAGCCTTTAGGAATTTCGAACTGAAAGTTACATTTTGAGGTCATATTTATTTAGTAAAATGAAAATTGTACATATTAAGATCCTTGGAATTTTCATAACCTTTAATATAAAGCAGAGTCTCAAGTGCTCAAGGAAATTATATTCATGTCAAAAAAGCAAAAATCTTAACAAATGGCTTAATTTTCTATTCATTTCCCGAAACATCAGTAGATTATAAGTGTTATGTGAGCTAAATGAAATTGCAGGGTGAATAATTCTAGAGTCTCTTTCATTTTGAAAGTCACAGTGTAAAAAGTAAATAAATAACTCAAGGTGGATCTTGACGCCCTGAAGCTGGAACTTATAGGGGTTCCTGTGTCTTATAGGGGTTGAGATTTTCTCGGAGCACCCACGGCTCCTCTCCCTCCACATCCCTCTACCTTTGCATTTTTCAGCTTGGATTATAATTTCATCTTTACTTGTCAGTGTCCCTTACCAGTCTTTGAAATTCTGTGGGAGGACAGAGATTCTGTATTTTTCAATGTCTGGAATGCAGTTGGGCCTCAGTAAATATCAGTCGAATAATAGATTTTTTAAAAATGATTTTCTTTGAAAAATCCCCATTACTTCTCCCTGGTAGATTCTTTACTTCCTTGCACAGACCCCAAGATGGTCCCATTCTTCAGCTTGACTCTGAAGACCTCCTGATGAGAAAATAAATGCTTCAAGGAAACTGCCTGTCAAAGACTCTAAAACCCTAAATGATTCCCCCTAAAGGAATGCCTACTGCAGAAAGGGCCACCTGCATTTAGCTCATTCAAAATATACCTTTGTCATCAGTTTTCCCTTTCCAGAAACAAGGTTGTTACTTTTAAACTTAAACCTGTTCAGTGCTTAGGTTTTTTTTTTTAATAACCATTTAATCATTTCCAAATGTAAGGTTATAATTAAAAACCCACAATAATTGATCCACTTCAGAATTTACCATGATCACAGCAGATCAGCAACAAGTTTATTATTAAGCTCGCAAAGTAACAAGATAGTGAATGGCTAAGTTTTTGAGCCAACTTTCCTTAAGTTCCTCTCCACTGGCTTCTGCTGCCAAATTTCCCTTCTGGTATTTGCAATGATTTGCCATGGTGTGTTGGTTTGTCTTTATGAAGGGTTGGCGGGGTGGGGGAAGCAAAGCAAAAGAAAGAATATGGGGTGAATGCAGCCTCCCTTTAGAAACTCGTTACAGAAACTTGGGGCAGTTTGCCTGATCTGTGACAGTCATTTTCTCGATGTCAATGTTATTAGAGGTCAGGATATCTTTTAAATAGGTCACTGTTTCCTGAGGAAGATAAGGGTTTCTTCCCAAGATCCAAACGTGATCTACGTGAAACAGCCAGAGGATTGTGGTACAGGAGTACACGAGGGCGTAGTTCTTGTAGTCGGTGGCCAGGACCCAGTATGGAGCTGAAGGCATCACTGAGAACCAGAGGAGGGCAGTGTTAGGAGGGATCAGAGGAAGAGAAACCGTCATCTCCAGTACCTGGAAGCCAGGCTCTGCGGTCTTGGTTCTTCTAGATCAGCAGTTCTTAATTCTGGCTTTATGTGGGAATCATATAGGGGCTTTGAACAATACTAGCCCCGACCTGCCCCTCCCTGGATTCTGACACGGAGGTGGTTGGTACTTTTAAAAGCTCCCCAGTGATTCGAATGTGCAGCCAGAGTTCAAAGCTAACATTCCGGATCCTCCCTGCGAGGACCTGGTATTGGGTTGGTCTCTGGAAGCCCATAGTAACTGGAGGTTTGGCTGGAGCCTCTAGACTGTCAGGCTGCACTTAGCACTAGTGCATATGGAAGCACCATTTAGCTAAGTGCAGTCAAGAATGTAAGGTCAGGGGTCTAATGCTTTCTGAGTCTGCACTACCTAGCTTCTTCTCAGACTTGATCAAGAAAGGAGGCAGTGGCTGGCTAGCTTTGGTTCGTTTGTTTTTCTTCCTGCCTTCCCTTCAAAATCCTTCCATTCCTAAGAATACGGTAAATCAAGCAGTAACAGGTTGTAAGCTCTTCCTTACAAAGGGCCTATGGCGATCCATTGGCTGATATCTGCATAACATCAAAAGCCCAAGATTAAAGGGGTCCTTAAGAGAAGAGAGAGAGGATTTACCCTCTCTACCTGAATCCAGAAACTTCCTGTGTGAATTTGAACTCCACAGCCAAGCTCTAAGCCAAGGAAAACTCATAGCACAGCTGGTTAAGGTTAAGTGGAAGACAGACCCACATGGAAGAAAGCTGTGTGCCGACCCCATAAGAACAAAAGGCTTGGACACATATGCAGTCCTGGGCGATTTGCTTTCCTGGGTTTTAAGCATCCCACCCCCTCTACTCAAAAATAATCCCACAGTTTGCCAAGTCAAACCAGAGCTCAGTGCTTGTGAGTGACCATGCGAAGCTGCTGGACAAAGAAGGCGGTGTGTGAGTGGTTTGAGTTTGGCTGGGAGTCAAGGACCGAGCTGGGTTTCAGGACCACACAAGAGAACTGGTCCAGATGACCACCCAGCAAGGTGCCTCCTACCTCTCACTTCCCACCTGTTCATAAACATGAAAACAGAATAACGCTTGGAGGACATCTGGACGGAAGCCTGAACAAGGCTGCAGGGCCTAGACTGAGTATTGTTCTGACTTACTTTTCTAGCACTGTTGGTGCCACCTGCTTGGCTCACTCATGAGAGCATATATTCATCAAATATCTGCTACCGTTGAACTTCAACTGCTTTGTGGGTTTTTTACTGGACTGAGAGTTCTTCAGCTCTGAGTAATCTGGGGAAAACACATCTTCTACCTCCTCTAGCAGCAGCAACAGCAGCAGCAGCATCGTGTCCCACTTGCATACAGTCAGGCAGACACATTCTGTCTTCCTCCCACAGGGTCTAGCGCTCAAGCATAAATTTGCTCAGATATTTCCTCTTAGTAAAGAAAACTTCCATGTCTTTATCAGAAAACTTTAACAGTCTCCTATTGCTTAGGGAAGGACCTTTAAACTCTCTAACACAGCATCAGAGGCCCTTCCCAGTCTTGTCTCCCGCTCCGTGGACACTCCTATGTTCTAGGGTTTTTCTCCAGGCCTTTTCTCACCCCATTTGCTCCACTTGGAATATCCTTTCCCATAACTTCCCATACACCTGCAAAACCCAATGCAAATATCTGATCCATTCAACCACAATAAATCTCTTCCTCCTCTGTTTCCCCAGCCAACTGCTCTGGCTGGTCCTTTAACTCCTGTCTCAGGCTTCCTAAGAAGGTTGTACATATAATATTTGACCTTCACTGCCATCCCCATCCCCCAGTTGAGAGTTTGGAGACTTAGGTTTTAGTCCCATCTCTACCTCTAATTAGTCCAGTGACCCAGTTTTTCTGCCCTTCTGCTTTCTTATTTGTAGAAATAACAAGAAAAACTGACCTGTAAAAATCCCTTTACAGCTCACAGAGCATGTATTATCTAGTTTATCTTCACAACACTGGGTGTAGATGCGAAGTTAGTTTGCCCATAGTCATATATGTGGGAGGAACTGTTTTCTTCTCCCAGTATTCCTATCTTGGTCTATAAAATAAGAACTTCCTCTTTGCCCCACTCTGGGCCCTGGATCAGAGGAGGAATGGAGGAGGAGTGTAGTGATTCCTCTTGCAGCTAGTTATTTTAATATCTGCCCCGCAGATGGGGAGAGATGCTCCCAAGTACTTTTGGCATTAGAAAGCCTCACAGTTTTGAGCTGAATTCTCCAGTGTGTCTATTGCCAGTAAAACTAATATATGGTGCTTTCTCTGTTGCCTGTGTCCATTCCTTGCTTAGCCCAGAACTCAGAGAGCAAATGCCTATGATTAAATCTCTCAAGGACCCCAACAAGGGGGCTGGAAAGTGGCAGACAGGTCAAGGACTCAAACTTATCTTCGCTCTTGCTGTCTCTTGCCTCCAAGGTTTTGTACATATTAGTTGTCCTGCTAATAACTACTAATTTTTCAAGCCTCAGTTTCCTCTGGAAAACAAGACTAGATTGGGTCTCCTACTGCTCAAGCACTGTGTGCTCCAATCTGTGCTTCCTCTATTGAAATGTTCACTGTAGTTTTAGAGTAAATTGCCTGGGTGCTTGTCAGTATCCTCACTGGGATGCAACCTCCTCAGGGACAAGAGCCAGCTCTGTCTTCCTCATCATGGCATCTCCAGCATCTAGGCCAGTGCCTGGCATGTGGTAGGTGCTCAACAAATAACTATGCATTGAATCATTATAGATGACACTCTGATATGACATAAGTGCTCCAACCCAGAGCTCTAGCCTTTAGTTTGCCTATCTCCTGTCCCTGAAACCTTTTGAAAGTGGATACTTACACCAGAAAAACTTCACTCCCAGCTTGGCAGCCTCTGTGAGGTTGGCTTGGGAGGCTTCACCTTCAATTTGATTTATGGTTCCATCGGATCTGCAGTGAGTTAAAAATCAAACAAACAACAAAAAAAACTAAACTCATTGAAAGCCAAAAATCAATAAATGGCAAGATTTGCGGCACTGAGAACCATGGTGGCCGACATTGTGATTTCTGGTTAGAGAGGCTCTGGAAGGCAAGCTAGACTCTCATGCCACTCCTTCCCCTTTTTTTGTGACTGTCTCTGAGATCAGGCTGAGGAAGATGACCTTGGGTGGATGAGAAGCAGGAATTGCGATTGGGTAATATGTTAGGTCTTGCACTTAGACTGTTTGCAATAGCCTGCAAGAACATTCCCTGCTCCCAGGCTTTGGAGAAAGAGGGAGTAAAAGAGAAGGAAAAAACAATCAAAACAACCCGATACACTGAGAATTCATTTCTTAAAAGTGAATCACTTATTAAAAATGAGAAGAGGCCAAAGGAAAAAACAAAGACTGACTTGATTACTGAAAATACTACAAAACATGGAGTCTGGAGATCTGCAAGCTTTTTCCCCTTTTGAGGCCTCAGTGATCTCGTGTGACATCATCTGTCTCATAAAAGGGTTTGCCCACCTGAGCTCTGAGACCCCTTTCATTTCTGCAAGCTTCTGATTGAGTATGAGAGATTTCAACATAATTCAGGTAAAAGCAGGCAGTGAGCATTTACCTTATTTCATCTCAGGTGTATCCAGGTCTCAGAGACATTAAATGTGAAGAAATGTGCATCATACAATTAATGCCACTTAATATTTATGTCATTTCTTTCTAAGTGACATGTAAAATGGTGGTGTGTCTTAAAAGTGATGGTCTTAGGTAAATGAAATACTTCCACTCTTCTGAAGGGAACTGGCCCCATTTCTGGATAAACTCTCCATGACCCCATGGACCCAGGAGAGAGAGGAATGGCCTGGGGATGGAGGCCGTGCAGGAAGGGTGCTCAGACATTAGGGCACTCTCTTTGGGAAGTCAGGAGAGGATCTGCTTGTTCACTAGTCCTCAAGGGGGCAGACAAACTAAAACTAGAGCAATAGTATATGTCAGAAAGTCAGTAGGCTATGGTTAGTGGTGATAGATGTCCTAGAAACCAGACAATAAGCACCAGATAAGCGAGGGTGGTAAATGTACTCTGATGGTCTGCATGCATTGTCTGTTTATCATCAAGTAGGGCCAGAGACTGTGCCCTGAGCTCTCACCTGGAACTCAGCCAGCCTGGGAAGATGGCCCCATTTCTATCTGCATGCAGTTGCTTAGCAACAAACCAGTCCCTTCCCAGCAGGCTTTCCCCCTTTTTAATATCATTTGTGTTGTGCTCCAGAACAGCTTTTAAAACACTAGCCTCTGATCATTAACTCACAACTTGTTCATGGGAAAATGCATGAGTATTTTCAAGGGTAGCAGCAAATTAACAGTAACAGTAATATCTATTAAATGGTTACTATACGCCAAATGCTTTACATGTGTTGCCTCACTAATGCTCACAGAGCCTTCTGGGAGAGGTGCTATGCTTATTGCCATTTTACTGAGGAAAGGGAGGCTGAGAGGATTATTACAATTAACCTAAGATCGTGTTGTTAGTAAGTGGCAGAACCAGGGTTTGAGACTCAGCAGCTAAACTCCAAAGCCTGAGCCCTTCAGCTCCCGACCCTGTGCCAGCTACTTTGTCCTCAAATTCTTTGACACTGGCTAAGTGTGTTCTGCTCAGACTCTCTGTTGTGCCCTCCACTCACTCTGCAGTATTCCTAGAAGGAGAAATGAGACCATTTTCCTGAACTAGCAAATCTTTTTCCATGTTCCCTTTTACCTTAACCAGGTGTGACCCTAGGGGCAAAGTGACCTAACAGTCAGGATCCTGGCCAACTCCAAAAGAGAGGTAGCGGGGATCACATAGGTTTGGGGGTCTGTGTCATTGACTTTTGACCTTAGAATGGAACAAAATATTTGAATGAAGTCATTGCCATTTGGGGGCCTACAGAATTCCTGTAAGATTTTCTGGGTGTCTACATCTCAATTCCTGGGCTCTGAAAAAGCTGGATTTTTTTTTTAGAGGCTCTCAATAGCCTTACTTTATTTCTTAGGTTTATACAGGGTCGGGAAGTCAACCCACTGTGTTTTGCTCACAGGAAGCTTAGAGGATAATAAGATGGTCTCAGAAAGCCCCTCTGAGCCAAAGTAACTTCCAGGCTAGCTTATAGTTTTCTTCTTGGAGTTGAACATAATTCTCAGATCCTGTAGGGAACAGGAAGGACAACTCCTCTTCTCAGCCTTCCTTTCATCTGTCTTCAGTTTGCTTCCCCATTTCACTTTTCCTTGGATTGGAATCTCAGCTTTGTCACTTATAAGCTGTGTGACCTTTGGGAAAATTATTTCTCTGTACCTGTTTCCTCATCTATAAAAATGGGGTTAATAATAGTACGACTTCAGGGTTGTTATGGGAGTAAATGAATACACACATACACACACACACATACACACACGCACACACACATGTATACACATATACACACAGAATAGTGCCCTGCACATAGGAAATGCTTAATAACTATTAGTTACTGTTGTTTATTGTTGTCCTTACCTTTGTTGATGGAAGGTGGGTAAGTTTTTCTGAGGCTTTTTTAAGTTTGTGCTTTTCAAAATGTGAATTTGAGGATCAAATATCAATCTGTGAGAACCCTCAGCCATAGAAAAGTATACTTCTATAGGATATCCTGTTTGCATAACTTAGACTGTGATTACATATGTATTTGATCCTTGTTTAATAAGAAAAGGAGTTTTCTAATAGTTAAAGCTGTCTGGAGATGAGATAAACTGTAATGGAAGGTGATGAGCTACCAGTTGCTGGAAGCTTCAAACATAGCTGAATGCCCTCCGTTAGTAGATCATATAGAAAGGTCTCCTCCCTTGGTTTAGACATCTGACAAGGTTGTCTCTGGTGTCCTTTGCTACCAGAATCTCTATTTTGCAGTGAGAGCAGGAACTCTGCAGTTTGGGTCGCTGTTGAGTCCCTAGCGCCTCTCACAGGGTCCAAAACACAGTAGGTGGTCAGCAAGTGGTCATGGAAATGAGTGAGCAACCTCTAGTCCCCACTCTCCTGCCTGCCAAAAGCTTTCATCTCAGGACCTGTTATGAGCAGGCAGCCTAGGCCCAGAAATGATCGTGTCCTCCCTGAACTAGACTGCAAGGACACCCAGTCACCCCAGGACAGCTCTCTGCAGGATCAGCCCCAGGATGTGCAAAGCCTTTGAAATCACAGCCACTCACCTCAGCTCCTGGTTTAGCACTTTGATGTTTCCGTTTTCCATTAGTGAGTAGTTGGCTTGGATGCAGCTTCCCTTCTCAAAGCTTACTGGGATCTTCTCAATTTCATACCATTTTCCAAGGTACTGCAGAGACAACAACAAGAGCAAAACCCTGTGGCTCTCTGGGGACCTGCAAACTCTTCTCCATTGTTGTCTTTCAGAGAAGAGCGCTTTCCTGAGAAACCAGGCAAAATGGGCTGCATTGTTCCCAGTGCAACTGAGCAAGATATTGATTTAAATAAGAATAAGTGAATCGGATGTGTGGGCATTGGTTGAATGCCACATTCTATTCCTAAAGTGCTCTTTATTTAGATATGCTCTCAGTGTCCCCTTCAGCCAGAATCTGTGAGATATTCTAAACTCTGTCAAAGAAAGAGATTAGTTTAGGTGATGTAAGGTGCCATCTCAAACATTTTGATTCCACAAGGCATCTCTGAATTGTCTGGAAAGTCAGATATGTTCACTGTGGGGAGCTGAGACTCCAGAGCTGGTTGAATTCTCCTCACATGACCCCATGCAGGGAGTTAGTCACAAAGGCTTTTGGCAAATGATCAGGACTTGGAATACCTGCATCATTCTTTCACAGTGGGCTTTCCTTCAGTTAGTAATTTTGGTGTACAGAGTCAGCTTTAAAGGAAGTGCACAACTGTGTGGGTGAGGACAGGCATCCTCCTGCTTCCATATCTTGCCTCGAATAGAAGCCACACCAATTTACAACCTTCGTGAAGGGCATTTTGGCAATAGCTAGCAAAACTAAAAATACATATACTCTTTGGCCCAGCAACTTCACTTCTGGGAATGTATCCACCTGGCAATAAGAAATGATGTATGTGTAAGGTTATTTGCTGCAGCGAGCGCTATTTATAATAATAAAAAACAGGAATAAGTCTCAGGGAGCATTATTAGCAGTGGACTGGGTAAATAAATGATGGCACATCCATACAGTGTAATGTTATACATTTTTTTTTAAAAAAGAGAGATGTGCAATTATCTCCAAGATACATTTAATGAAAAAAGTCAGGTGCAAATAATGTATATATTAGGCTACCTTTCATGTAAAAATTATCAGTTATTTAGAAAAAGTTATTAGTTTTCTATCGATGCTATAACAAATTAACACAAGCTTAAAACAACACAAGTTTACTTTCTTATAGTTCTGCAGGTCAGAAGCCTGACCCAGGTCTCACTGGGCTAAAATCAAGATATTGGCAGGGCTATGTTCCTTTCCAGAGACCCTAGAGGAGAATCTGTTTTTTGCTTTTCCCAGGTTCTTGAATATCAGTTTCTCTGCCTACATAAGGAGAATGCAATATTTAAAAAGAACCCTAGGAAGGACGAAGTATAACTATCTCTATTTGCAGATGACATGATTTTGTACATAGAAAACCTAAGAAATCCACACACACACGAAAACTATTAGAGATAACAAATGAATTCATCAAGGTTAAAGCATACATCAATATACAGAAATCAAATATATTTCTACACTTACAATGAACATTCTGCAAGTGACATTAAGAAAAGTCCATTTACAGTAACATCAAAGAATAAAATAGTTAAGAATAAATTTAACTAAAGAAAAGTAGAAGTTGTACTCTGAAAACTGCAGTTCTGAAAGAAATTAAAGAGGACCTAAGTAAATAGAAAGATATTTTAAGTTCATGAATTGGAAGACTTTGAATTGTTAAGATGGCTATTAAAACTCCCAACTGGCTTCTTTGCAGAAATGACAAACTAGTCCTAAAATTCATATGGAAATGCAAAGGACTCAAAATTGCCAGAAGAACAAAGTTGAAGACTCACATGTTCGGATTTGAAAAACTTAGCTACGAAGCTGTAGTAATCCAGATTATATAGTACTGGCAGAGGGATAAACATATAGATACTGGAATAGACTTGAAAGTCCAAAAGTAAACTCTTAAATTAAAAAAATTAATTGATTTTTGACAAGGATGCCAAGACTATTCATTCAAAGAGAATATAATAGTCTTCTCAACAAATAGTTCTGGAACAAGTGAATATCCACATACAGAAGAATAAGTTAGACCCCTATAACACACTATATATAAAATCTAACTTAAAATGAATAAAAGACTTAAACGTTAAGTCTTACTTCTATAAAATGTTTAGAAGTAAATATAGAAGTAAATCTTTATAATCTTGGATTAGGAAATGATTTTTTAAAGTAAGACATCAAAAGCACAAGCAACAAAAGGAAAAATAGATAAACTGGACTTTATTCATATTAAAAACTTCTGTGCTTCAAAATACACAAGACATCAATAAAGTTAAAAGACAGTCTGTGGAATGGGAGAAAATATTTACAAATCAGTATCTGATAGGGACTTGTATCTAAAATATATAAAGAATTCTAATATAGCAATAGTTAAAAGATAGATAACCGAGTTTAAAAACGGGCAAAGGACTTGAATAGACATTTCTACAAAGAAGACATACAAATGACCAATAAGCATATGAAAAGATGCTCAACATTATTAGCCATTTGGATAATGCATACCAAAACAACAATGAGATACCACTGTACATCCACTAAAAATGGTTATATTCAGAAAAATGACAATAACAAGTATGGGCAAAGATATGGAGAAGTAAGAACTATACATTGCTGGTGGGAATACAAAATGGCGCAGATCTTTTGGGAAACAGTCTGACAGCTTATCAAAAGATTAAACATAAAGTTACCATATGACCTAGTAATTCTATTCCTAGATATATATATACCCAGGAAAACTAAGAACACATGTTCACCAAACACACACACACACACAAACAAACAAGCAAACAAAAAAACCTTGGACATGAATGCTCATAGCAGCATTATTCCTAATAGTAAAAAAATGTAAACTATCTAAATGATGAACAGATAAACAAAATGTGGCATAATTTGTTGAGTAAAATATTATTCGGCCGTGAAAAGGAATGAAGTTCTGATACGTACTACAATATAGATGAACCTTGAACACATTATGCTGAGTAAAAGGAGTCACAAAAGACCACATATTGTATAATTCCATTTTTATGAAATGTCCAAAATAGGCAAATTTATAGAGACAAAAAGTAGATTATTGGCAGACAGGGTTGGGGGAAATAGGGAATAACTTTTAATGGGTACGGGATTTCTTTTGGGGATGATGAAAACGTTCTAAAATTGATTGTGGTGATGGTTTTATAATTGAATATACTAAAAACCATTGAAAGTGAAACTACTTTAAACAGGTAAATTGTATAGTATATGGACTATATCTCAATAAAACTTATTTTCAACATTCTGCTTTACTCCTCAAAGGACTTTTGTAAATACAGATCAACTATAATTTCCAAAGCATCTTGGGATTTTTACCAAAAAAGCTGAAATGCAACTCAAATTACTTAGGTTTTTTTTTCTATAAAGCCACCTATGGCCCACCAGGGTTACCTGAATAAAGGGATCAGCCCTTAATAATTAATGGAGTAAGTCAATGTAGACTTCAGTGTACTGTATCTCCCCTTCCTACCTCCCCTGTTTGAGCTCTCTATTGACGGTGCTCCTTCCCCATCCCCCTCAGACTCTGAGCTCTCTTCCCTCACTCCTCTACCTAACCCTACCCGCAAGAGGTCCCAACACTCACTCACACCTAAGTGTGAGTGACCGATAACAAGGTTGATGTTACTATAACAAGTGCCACTGCCACTACTAAGAAGAGACTTTAACAGGGAGTGGCAATGGGCATCTCTAAGTCATGTCATCCAATAGCTGCCTCTTTCTGCTGCTCCATCCCCCTGGCCAGACAGATATCCAGTAAGGCTGGGCCTAATCTGAAGAACAAAAGCCATAGATGGGGGAGCTAGTTATATTGATATCTCTTTAGTGCAGGTAACAAGAAAGCCCATTGGGGAGTTCTGTCCTTTCCTAGGCCGTTCGGGGAATCCTTGGGTGTCCTGCACTACCAAGAAGCCTAGTTTTGAATACCCGTCTGCAATTACCAGCTGTGTGACAATGCAGCTTATGAGATTTCAGACATTCGGCTTCTTCATCTGTAGAATGGGGATAAGATTACTGCAGCAGCTGCTGTCGATGCCCTGTCTGTGTCCTCTCAGCTCACCTCTGGGTTTACCTCAGCCACGGTGGACGATTCCCATGCAGGCTGCCTCTGTGTCTCCTCTGCCAGATGGCTTTGCCATAGGAGCTCCCACGTCTACTTGCATTCATTTGCAAGACAATCTGAGGCGCATTCCACACATTCCCTGAGAGGATCCCCAGCAGGATTGAACCCCATTGTTCATAGAGTAACCTGCTCCTGAAAGAAGACATACATTTATTGCTTTCCTGCCGCTTTATTGCTTTCCTGCCGTCTCTGTCTCACTTTCCCCACATGCTCACTGTGCTTCCTGAGATCATCTTCCAGAAACTCCCTGCTGCCAGTTTTGTCTTGTCTCCCTTGAGAGAACTGTGGATAAGGTATGTACCTACCCCCAGGCGTGCTGTGGCCATCAAAGCAGAATAAGAAAACTGAGCCTTTGTAAGGTGCTTATTCTAACAGGAGACAATAAAACAATTGCGAAGTTAGCCTTTTACCACACCTTATTCACATCGAAATTCTCCTGCACAGGAGGAGTCGGGCACTTCCCAAGATGGAATGCTTGTCCCTTTGCCACACCGAAGAGGCCAGCCAGTGCGGAAAGCAGCAGCAGTGCAGTCACCATCTTGGTGGCTGGGTGGCTGGAGATGGAACCTGGAATTGGAGAAAACAAAACGGCTGGAGTCTTCTTATCAATCATTGGAGAAAGATTTCTGAGCTGGCCAGTCCCTCTGTGGGCAATCAATCCTCCCATTCAGCCATCTGAACCCCTCATCCTCCAGTGCCACCTGAATTGTCAGCACTGCTGGGAGCCTTCCTCCAGGACCTTTGCACCTCCAGTGGAGCATGTTCTGCCTGGTATTGGGGTTTGTTGGATTTATTTTGTAACCACCCCCGCTCACCAAATTAGGCAGTTTTCAAAGGTGGACACTGTGTCTGTTTCTCCTTGGACTCACCCACAGAACCTCTCAGTGCCAGGCACAGTAGATACTTGAATGAACAGAAACAATGTGGCAGCAGGGGGACAGGCAAAGGGGGAAGAGATTGAAGCTGTCAAGTGAACCATTAGAGAGAAAAAAAGAAAACAAGCCATGCACAACATTTAGCGTCTTAGGTGATTCATAAGAGAAATGCCTCGCTGACCACCCCTCCCCCCCCTTTCCCCTCGCCTGCCCGCCCCATCTGTTCGCCAACCCAGGAGTAGGCCTGGAAACCTTAACAGGGACCCCCGGAGCGCTGGGGACACCAGCGTCACCCTGACTGGGATTGAATTTTGACTTTGCCACATACTAAGTATAACTGTGTCCAATTATGCTTTAGTTTCCTGGTCTATTAAGTGAGAATAATAATCATACCCCCCTCATGAAGTTTTTAGAGAATTAAATGAGATAATTGAGAGGGCATTTAGAGTAGTGTCTGACACAGAGAAAATGCTCAATTAATGGTAGTTACTGTTACTATGAAAAGCAGAAACAAATGATTATTTCCTGAATTTCTTTTTTTTTTAATTTGTTTTACATTCTGTTGGGGATATTTTTCATAGATGTGTAATTAACTAGAAAAGGACTATAACTGGCATAAAATTGTGCAACAAGCATTTTGGCCCAAAAGGTTCTTCGGGCAGTGGAAGCTGCTTTGAGGAGGGGCAGAGGGCAGGGGTGGGAGGCTACAGGGCTGCTGGCAGGGTATGGGCGTCTCGGTTGCTCCCTGCTTCTTTCACTGACTTGTTTTCAGTCTGTTCTCTTCCTTGTGACTCCTTACCTGTAGCTGCACAAGAGCTATTTCCAGCTCTTCGCTTCTCTCCCCGTGATGAGGAGGACTGAGTCAATGCAAGCAAAATGTTCTCAGATTTGAGCATTTAAAAGGATGTGTCATCGCAGGAATAATTATAACCACTTTATTATGAGTCTCTAAACCTTCAAATAACCTTTAATAATCAATAGCTTTTCTTCTGGAAGTTTCCTTGTCGGTTTCAAAAGAAAAATTGCATAATGAGTACAAGCTGCCAGCAGGGGTCAGGGGGGCCCCAGCTGAGCCCCTCTTTAGCAAGTTTGCAGCGGGACCACCTTCCTTAGTCTCTGAAGCTCCGTTTCCCACCTGCCCCTACCACCACATAAACAACACCTGTCTTTTAAACTTTCCAGGGATGATGGATTTGCAGAAACCCAGCCTAAACCCACAAAAATTTGCATCCATTTCCAAGAGGTTCTCAGAATCACTGGAGCTCTACTCTGCCCCCCTCCCCCATCCCCGGAGGTGCCAAGCTCAGTGCCTAACCTCAAAGGATGCACACTCTACAGGGCCCCTCAAACCGTGCAGGACCTTAAAGGTCATTTATCCAACCCCTCCCCCACCCAGGTGTACAGATGGGGAAGCTGAGACCTAGAAGGGCAAAAGGTGGGACTCAGGCCCCATATCCAGCTCTCCATTCTGCCCCTGAACCATGCTTCCTTCTGCACACCACCTTTGGTGGCTTTCGATAAACACCTACCCTCTGTTATCTGATGAGTCTCGTTTCACCATGTGACAGTTACACCAAAAGTTAGTTCTACATCTTATTCTGACAACTATCTTATTACAAAATGTTCTATTGTGGGCTGAAACACATTTTTTTCAGCTTTGTAGGAGGATTTCAGAGCAAGACTAATTCCCCTTAATTGCATCTCTTTTATAGATGCCTCTTTATTGTAGAAATGTTATTCCTATAGTTAAATCATTTTGTGAGAGAAAGGGTTACCATCCAAAATTTTGTGTGTCCCTTCCATTCTAAATTACATTATTAACATGTACCTATGAACTTAGGTATATAGGACATATTTTTGTATATTTCTAATACTAATGGGAAGATTGACCTAATGAGGAGAGTTTAAATACTTTTAAAAATAAATACAATTTAGATATTATTTTGACTGAATAGTAAATAATTTAAAAATAATTCTATTAAAGTTACTTAGCACCTACCCTGGGCCAGTACCAACTCTGAGAATCACTGCTCACACTCACTGAACTTCCCCACCAAAAAGTCCAGGCCTTAGTATTTTCCATGTGCCATGCACCAAATCTTCACAACATCCTATCTGAAAGAGTCCTACGCTGGCATTCTCTTCGTGCACAATGAAATTTATTTGCCCAGATTACTTCCTGGTGAGCTGTGAAGCCAGAACTTATGTCTAAGAGTCTGAAGTCAACTCCTACGTGTTAGCTGGGACCTAGTCGCTGATCTCAAGGAGCTGCAGAGCATTAACGACCAGATTTTTAGATTTCGCATGATAAAATACAATGCATTTCTACAAGGGGGTCTTGAAAACCCATTTAGCTATTGACTCTAACAAGAAAATGTATCTTCTGAAGAAAATATTTTTGTGCCATATTGTTAAGTTCATTTTCTAGTCACAATGAATTCCAGTTCACTTTTCAGTTAGTTTTATTATAATGCACAGTTGGATAACAACTCCCTGATAATTCATCTAATATAGTATTGGTGTGGAAAATGTTCTCATCATCTCATATAGTATAGATGTGGGTGCATAGTGCCCCACTCAAAGCAGAACACTTTGAGGCGAGTCAACATTGGGTTGGTACCCTAGCTCTGGCATTTGTTGGCAGTCTTATCTTTAGCCTTGCTTAGAATATCTGAACCTCAATTTCCTCATCTGAAAAATGGTACTAACAATATCTACCTTGAAAGGTTGTTTGAGGAAAAATGAGACTAACTCTGTGAAGCTACTGGCACAAGCCCTCAATCATGTTATTATTTTTAGCTGAAAAGAGGCAATTGAAAGTCAACACAATTTCTATTTTTAGGCATTATTTATCATAAATGAAAATCAAAACTATAGTACATACCTTTTTTTAGTCAAGACGTAGGCAGTTTCCACATGCAAAATCATCCGACTTCAGATGCTTTGTCTTTGGTGGTTGGCTTCTCCCAAGTTATTTTATAAGCTTCATCAGGTCATTGATGTTCAATTTTATGCATGCCACACCCCTACAGTTCAGGAAGGCTGACCTAAAAGCTTAGCTCTGTATAAAACACAAAGATGGAATGTTTTGTCCATCTCCCTCCCCCAATTTCCTTCACAGCTGCTCCCTGAAGAAGAAACAAGGAGATATTGTTTGTGTGTGTGTGTGTGTGTGAGAGAGAGAGAGAGAGAGAAAGACAAAGTGCATTTCATTCAAAACATCTTTTTTTGCTATGTGGATTTTCTAATTTAATTTTCTTAGACTGCATTTTTAAGTTCCAGTAAGATGAGTTGCAACATGTTTTCAAACATCTGGTATTTATTTTTCATTTTTGTGTAAATGAAAAATCAACAATCCTATTTCCTGAAATGGAGCATGAATTCCAACCAATGTGGTCCCTGGCCTGGAATGTGGCTCAAACAACAGAGTGAAAGTTAGAAATTGGAGGTGGCTTTCTATGTGATCCTGGGCAAGCCACTCACCTCTCTGCGCCTCAGTCTCCCCACTGTAAAGTAGAGACTATCATTTCCATCTCCACCAGAGCTGGGGGTATAGTGGAGATACCAGTTCTAAAACATTTGGGGCTAAAAGTTGAGAATGCCAAAGGTGTCTTCTGCAGTGTCTTCTGCAGCAACTCTCCTCTGTACCTTTGATGACCCTCCCAGTTACATATTCTAGGAAGCCTATTACTGCTTGGGGTGGGGGTTGGGGGTATAGATTTAAGTCCAGGGGTACTTCTGGTTGAGCATCACCTTTCTCTATGGAATAAACAGTTTTGACTCTCATGAATTGGATTCTATATCTTTGTGATAGGTGGGAGGTATTTTTAATGGCTATAGATAAGACAGTATGTTTATAGCAGACTTAGATCCTAAATAAAATTCACTCTCAAATTTGTAAGCAGCTGAGAAAAATTTACAGCATTGAGCTTTATAAACATTAAAACAACAACAATAAGAGTGAATCCTTAACATACCAAACTTTGGGAGCTCTTTCTTTGGAATGTCTTTTACCTTTTCAAGAAAAGAGGGGGTTCTTATTCCTTTTCAGGGCTCTGACTCTCGTTGTCCTCCTGTAATGCTTTCCCCTCAGAACCTTGCAGGGCTTTCTCCCCCCTCCCACATCCCTACTCAAATTACACTTTTTAAAAAAGGCCTTCCTGACCTTTCAAAAATAGTACTCTTGTCACTACCACTTTGCCTGCTTCATTATTTTATTATATCCTTACCTGAAATTATATCTTTATTTATGTATTTTCTTGCTTATTATATCTATTTTTTCCACTAGGATATAAGCTCTATGAGTGTAGAGAATTTGTCCCATTGACTTATTGCTGTACCCCCAATGTCCGGGGCACATAGGTGTCCGACAAACACTTCTAAATTGAATGGAAGAGACATGTCTATTCAAAGAATTTACTAAACATTCTAAGATATGCAAAAGGAGCTAGAGGTAATATTTAAGAAACTTCTATTTGAATTGTTTCCCGGGAAAGAACTAGCCTGTAAGTTTTCATATTTTCCTTACTTGTATCACATTTGTCACCAAGAATTGCCTGTCATTGAAGAAATACACAATTAGCCTCTCGTCAACATCATAAAAAAATACACGGTTAGTCTCTATTCTGAATAGTTTGCACAATTTCCCACAAGGCAAGTCACTAAAGTTTCCAAATGTGTAAGTTGGAGATAGATATATTTATATATTTTATTCCTCCGCACTGAATCAATAACTGTAGAGCTGAAGGTACTAGTGTAAAAGTCACAGCATGAGAAAAATCACATTGTCTTTCTGGGTCTCCATTTATTTTTTTCTGTAAATGTTGGCAAATCATATAACTTAAGGAAATCCTCCCTTCACATGTTTCTGGAATGTGGAGCCAAGTGCAAGTTCTTAGGAATCATAAAACAAATCTGATCTATGTTCTAAAGAAGTCTTTGTTTTTTAGTTCCCAAACAATGCACATTTGTTGTAAACAATTAAAATAGTACCAAAATATAGGACTCGAAAAGTGTAAGAGCCTTATAATCCCACACCTCAGAGATAACCATTGTTATGTTCGCATTTATTTTCTAGGTATTCCTATACAGATCCTAACATAATAACAATAAGAGCAAAAAATCCAGTGTTCTGAACCTTGCTTATTTTCATGTTAAAATTTATCTCTCCATATCAACACACATAGATCAACTTCATTTTTTTACCTGCTGCAAAACATTGGTTTTACCTGACAGCTCATTTCTTCAAGGAAATGGCTTGTGGTTTTACAGGAAAGCAGTTCTGTGGTTAGATGATCTTTTATCATGTAGGTAATTGCTTGGGTTTCACTATAAAGCCCTCAGGGAAGATGAAAGGATTTTGGTGGGCTCTGTAACAAGAAATAGAGAACTATCCCATCTTAAAAAAAAAAAAGTTTTCCCGATGAAAACTTCTCCATTTATTAATAAGTGGTTCTTTCGATCAGAGTCATCCTGTATACTATTCTAAAGTTATTTTTCTTTTGTCAGTTAAAATAAAGGGGGAAATAACTGTACTTTTCATGTGAAAACCAAGACTGTAAGAGTTTTCAATAACATAAATTTATTTAAGATTGACCTCAAAAGTTCTACTCTCTAGAATGTCTCCCTGAATTCTTG